TATAGTTTACTTACTTTAATATACTTAAAATAATAAATAAGTAAATATTAAAATAAATAGGCTAAGTAATAAGCTTAATTTTAAGAAACTTAAACCTTATAAGGTTTTAAAGCAAATTAAAAAAGTTAATTATAAACTTAATCTCTTAGTATAAGAAGGATAATAAAAATAATTAATATACTTAATTTTTTATATATTACTACTTAAAAAAGCAGTAGTTAATTTAAATATAAGTAAAATTATTTATAATAAAATTATAATAAAAGGTAAAGAACTTAAATATAAAGTTAAATAAATATTTTAAATTAAATTTAATAAAAATACTTAATAGCTAAAATACCTTATAAAATAAAAAAATTATAATAATGCTAATAATATATAAAAACCTATTAAGAATCTTAAACACTTAAAAACCCTAGTTAATAAGTTTTATTAATAGTTAAACTTATAAAGGTTAATAATAAGGGATTTAATAAAAACTAATCTTAATTAATAAGGTTAATAAAAGAAACTAAAATATTAAAATTAGTTAGGTTAAGTATAAATATTTTTACTTAATAAGCAGCTACTGCTGCCTTATACTTTACCTTTTTTATATATTTTAACTTTTTTAAATTATTAATTTTATAAGTAATAGCCTTTTATATTTTTTTAGCCTATTCTTTCTTTTATATATAAAGATATTTAATATATATACCTACTTTAAGCTAGGCTTTTTTAGCCTGCTTTAGCTTAGAATTAAAATTAGTATTTTTATTAGCTATATAATAAAGTTAAAATATAAATAAACTAAAAGCCTTATAGCTAGGCTGCTAAAAATAAATATAGCTTAAATAATAAAAAGAATTAGCTTTTAATATAAAACACTAGTAATTATATTTCTTATAATATTAGTAAGGTTTTATAATTAATAGCTTAAGTAAGATTAACTGCTTTAAAGTATACTGCTAAAGTATTTAAAAAAACTTAAAATATTTATACTTACTGCTAACTATTCTAGTTAGTATATAAAAAAAAGAATATATAAATAAAAAACACTTATAAAAAAGTAAGAGAACTATAAGTTTTAATAGTATAAATAAGGTTTTAAAAATAAAACTAATAAAAAGGGGATATTATATTATAACCTAGCCTTATAGTTATAATAATAGGCTACCTTTAGTAAGCAGCACTAAATAAATATTAAACTATTTAGCTAATTAAAAGCTATTTAATAAAATTAACTATTAAGTATATTAAGGATAACTTAATAAACTTAATAATTAAGTATATTAAAAATATTAAAATAACTAAATATATAAGTTATATTTATATTACTTATTTAAATAGTTTAAATAGCTAGTTATTATTATACTTTATAATATTTATAATATAAATAGATTAAAACCTAAATATTTATTATAAAAGTGTATTAACTAGCTATATAATAAAAACATGCCTTAAGCATTAACCTAACTCTTTACTAATATAAACCTAAATAGCTCCCTTATTAAAGCCATTTACTTAAATAGTTTATCCCTTAGGAAATAGTGTTCTTACTAACTATAGGAACCTAGTTTATTATAGATAGCCTATTTATATATATACTTACTGGCACTAAAGGTTCTATCCTTAACTTATTACTTTTACTATATATACTAACCTAGTTATTAGTAATCCTGCTAAGATATTATTATCTTAGTAATGCTAAATTTAGCTTAAGGAAGGGTATTATAATTCTATATCTTAAAACTTATTATTATTTTAATAACTAAAGAGATGCCTAGCAGTAGCCTTAGAATATAAAGGAACTTTATAACTTATAGCATGCTTAGCTTTAAATATAAGTTAAGAGAGTATTTAGTTAGTATAAGTATAAATAAAAGATTATTTACTATAATGCAGCTAAATATAAGTTTATAAATTAAGTCCTAATTATTTATATTATTACTAAGCTATATAACTTTATTAAGCTTTAGGGCATGCTTCTTAAGGAAAAGCATTAGCTAAATAAGGAATTATTAACTATAAGGGATTAGACTTGCCTTCTTTAAGCGCGCTAATATGCTAATCTAGTTCTACTGCTATTATTAGGTCTTTAGCTTAAAGACTATATTACTTAAGATGCCTAGACTATATATTAGGATTATTTAAATAAAGGTGCAGATAGAAATAAAGCTACTGCTAAGGTTACTGCTGCTAAAGTTAAGGGCATCTTAAATAGCTAGAAGGGCTTTTAAATAGCTAGAAAGGCAGGCTTAAGTAAATTATATAATAGAAAAGCTAAATAATAAATAACCCTAATGCATTTTTAAAGGTATTAAATATTATAATATCTAGTATTATAAAAAAGGTTAGGAATTTTTACTAAATTATTTTTATAAAAATATATCCTTTACTTCTTTTAATAGTAATAAATTTTATACTAATGCATTTATTAAATCCTTATAAATTTAATTAACTATCTTAAATATAAATTCTATACTGCGCTTATTAGCTAGGCTATATATATTTTTAAAAGCATTTTTAACTAATTTTATACTAACTACTGGCTTTATAATAATAATATACTTATATAGCTTAGCATCCTAGGCAGATAATACAGCAGCAAACCTATTTAAAACACTAATATTATTATTATTATTATCCCTTTTTAACTTCCTCTTTCTTAATAATACACTTGCTAGCGCTGCTATTATTAGCGCTGCTGCTACTATAGTAGCTATTACTAAAGTCTGCTATAATATAATAGCAGGTCCTGCTGCTAGTGTTATAAGTATATTTCTATTATTATTAATAATAGCCTTATTTTTTTTTATAACCTCCTTTATATTTAATAGTAAATCCTCCTTCTCTTCCTTAAATATATTAGGAATGCAGGTACTTTTTAAAGCATTTATCTCCTTAGCCTAAAAAATGCCCTTAAAGTCACTTACTTCTTAAATATTTCTTTTAGCAGGTTAGTCCTTTTAAAAGATATCCTTTTAAGTTAAATATATAATAGTATTACTAATTAAAAGGCTATTAGTAATAACCCTATAGCTAAAAGGAGGATATTTTTATATTACTAATGCCTTATTTACCTTACTTATCCCTAGCTAACTAGTAATAGGATTATAGCTAGTTTTAAAAAGGGCTTTAGCTTCCTTAAATATCTGCTAAAACTTTTTTATATCCTAATACTTATTCTTAACTGTCTTTAGTTCTTAAAAACGCTTTAGATACTGTGTTTTAAAAGGTTTTAGTAACTTCTGCAGTGTCTTATAAAGTACTAAGCTTTTATTTAAGTTTAGGAGGTTATTCTGCTTTACCTTAAGCAGTAAGCTAAGGAAGAATAAGGACTAGGCATTTATCTACTAACTTAAGGTTTACTAAGCGTTACTTTAAGATATATTTCTAGACAGTTAGCTTATTATAATATAGATTATAGTGCAAAAACCCTATATTTAAAGGTATATTTTATATATAGCCTTGCAGTAATATTAAAATCTTATAGCTAAGCCTTATAAAGGCAGTAAGATATTACTAAATAGATCAGGCCTAGCTAATTAACCATAACCTATAAGGTATAAGAGTAGCGACTTTACTAAATTTGCTTGTTAGAAGTACCTGGCTAATTATCCGCGCTGGCTAATTAGCCGTTCTGGATCAGGGCCTAATACGAGGTTTAAGAGAGCCCTGGAGGCCATCTAAACCCAACGGCCCTGATCCGTAGCATATTAGGTAGGTATGTATCCCTGGAGCACATTGTTACGCGAGCAAGAGGCGGGTACATTGAACAGCCTGGAATGCTATTTGGACGGCTTTAGCCTCAAGCTCTGAAGTCACTGCCAGCTCATCTCTGGATCTTCAGGCTACCGCAGCATAAAGAGCGCATCAGATCTCTTCTAGGGTCATGTCGAAGGTGAAGCCCGTCTTAGTAGCTTGCCCACCTGGATCGCTGAGACCAGACGACTCGCAGGTGAGATACCTAGGTAGTAGGTACCGGATCATCTCTCAGCCGTGGACAGCGCCATACCTTAGGCATTTCCCCGGGTTCTTCTTGGTGTTCTGGATAGGTATGGATAGCTTGACTGTTACATGTATGTAGAGCTACCTTATCTGGCTCGGGGAGATGCTGGCTAAGATCCAAGTATAAGTGAGGGGCAGCATGCATCATGCTGGGTAATTGGCAGATTCGAGATGCGGAGTTGTGTGTGTGATCATCCTCGTCCCGAGCCCATGCAACGTCCCCTCCCTCCCAGAGACTCTGCAGAACAGCAGGCACAGAGCTGAAGATGGGCTGCTTGAACGCACACGTCTGCTGTGGCACTTGTACGGCAGCATCCGTGGCAACCAGAGGCATGGGCCTTGTATCAGGAGATTTGACTCCGAGGACCGGGTGCCAACTTTGGGATTTTGCCTTTACTGAGAACTGAGGAAGGCTAAAGGGGGATCAATGCAGGTAGCGGCTGGGGTCTTGGGCGAGGAAAAGAGGCGCTGCTGCGGGTGAAGTTCCCCTCGAGAAGACCTGTTCCCAGCTAGTACTACCTACAGTACTTACCTAGGTGCTGTTCGTCGAAGGCAATTTCAAATTTCGAGCTGTTCTAGAGCACCTACCTTACCTGCTCCGTTGGGGGTCTTTCAAGTTTTCCACTTTGCCACAACCACCCTGATAACGAACGGATAAAGAAGATTAGAAACGAGATTCAAGATAGCAAAGAAAAAAACATGTAAGAGACAAAAGAGAAGGCAGCAAAAGAGGCAAAAAAAAAGGACCCAAAAAGCCTTACGCCCGTGTGCCAAAACGGTACTAAACTGCTGTAAACCGCGTCCCACCAGCGCCCAAGCACCATTTGCCGCCAGGGCCAATCACACAGGCGAAAAAAAAATTCAGGTAACGCACCTTTTCTCCCCCCTCCGTCCTCTTTCCTGCTCCTTCTCCTCCCACCTTCTCGATTTCTCCTCTCCACATCCTTCCAGCACTCCACTGCTTTTTTCTTTTATCTGCCGCGCAGACTCTCTCTCCCTCTTCGCTTCTTCTCTTCCGCTTCACGACAAGCCCGATTTTTGCGCAATCCATCACAATGTCTGACGAGGTAAGTCGGCCGTCTCTCTGAGAGACTCTTTTCGTGCTGCTGCTTCTGCGCAAAGAAAAAAATCCTGAGAGCAAGGGAAAAAAAAAAAAAAAATACACCCCGCAGTCGTTACGGCTGCCCCTCGACTGAGCGACACCCCACATCACAATATTGCCATTTTTCTGCCATTTTTCGCTGCATTCTCTCGATGAGCCTCTGCGTCCTGTGATTGCGCTGTTCGGAGGAGCAGATGCCCAGATTGCTTGGCCAAATCGCAAAATTCCCACAAAATCGCTTCTGAACGAGCCGTACCCGGAATGCTAACAATTTCTTCCGCCAGCAACACGATGTTACCTTCGAGTCCGCCGACGCCGGCGCGTCTCTCACCTACCCCATGCAGTGCTCTGCTCTGCGCAAGAACGGCTTCGTCGTGATCAAGGGCCGCCCGTGCAAGATTGTCGACATGTCCACCTCCAAGACCGGCAAGCACGGTCACGCCAAGGTCCACCTTGTCGCCCTTGACATCTTCACCGGCAAGAAGTACGAAGATCTCTCTCCCTCCACTCACAACATGGACGTCCCCAACGTCACCCGTCGTGAGTACCAGCTGGTAAGTAAATGATTATTCCGAGGGTGGAAAAGGCAAGACGAGGTGAAGATTTCCGTTTTGCTGACAGCAGTTTGCAGATCGACATCTCCGACGACGGTTTCCTCTCCCTGATGAACGACGACGGTGACCTCAAGGACGATGTCCGCATGCCCGATGGCGAGATTGGTGAGAAGATCAACAAGCTCTTCAAGATTGACGAGAAGGACACCAGTAAGTCATGGCTTTTTCTTATCTCCAAACATGTCACACATTTGCTGGCAATGGAGCTTGTTCTGACTTTTTGACTCAGACGTTGTTGTCCTCACCTCCATGGGTGAGGAGGCCGCCATCGAGGCCAAGGAGGCTCCCAAGCAGGGTTAAATCAAATCCTAGCTCCCATAACCCAATGAGCACAACGAAAGATTCAGGATTTGTTTTATAGCCCCTCGTCACCTCCTCCTCCTCCCTCCATCTAGGCGTTTTATCACGGCCGTCGTAACATCGGATATCCTTGGGTTGATGTATGGGTCGTTGCGTTCAAAGGTCGATGGGTGGGATATTTCAAGCTAGTTACAACACTCGGCACGTCAACAAATGCACTCTCTGAGGGCCACCACATTTCCTTTTGTATTCTCCACGAGTCAATGCCAACTCTACCCAGATAGAGATGTGTGCGTGGCTGGCCTGAATGACCAAAAATGAAAGACAAAAAAATTTACCTGCAAACATGTCCTTGCTGCATGAATGATGGTGCCCAACGTGAAGTGGACACATTTTTGGATAACCTCCTGAAGTTCTTGTAGGTCTGAGGATTTCTCATGAAAACAATTGCTACAGCTGCCTTAGGTATCCTTAGGACGTGTGTGACTGCAGTAATAATAGAAGGGAGAAAAAATGCAAGTGAAAGTGATAAGCAGATAAGAACACTAATTCTTGAGGTAGCGCGTAACACGGACGAGACCGCCGACGAGCTTCGCTTTCAAGCTTCATCTCTTTGGGCCTAAAGCTCAAGTTGCGCGAGCCTGACTTCTCGATTGCTTTTAGTCCAGGTGTTGCACGAGCTTCGAAATTTTACTTGTTCTTCTTCCTCCAGATCTTCTCCGGCGTCTTGGGATGAAAACCGGCGGTGCAATATGAAGGCGAACCTCTCACCAAAGCGCCGTCAAGACCGGAAAGTCTACACTCGCTCACCATAGGTAGGCGGCGGTATAGCTAGCTACCTCTCGTCTCGGCCTGCTCTTCGCATTTTCTCATCGTCTCAGGGCGCAATCGCAAGCCCAGAATGGAAGGGCCAGGAGATGTCCGCCGGATGCCCCGAGGGGAGAGATGCCCCGAATGCGGAAGCCAGAGATGGTACCTGCAAGACGGACTGAGATTCTGCTCCCGGGGGCATCAGATCGAGGTAGGGTGCATTGGATTCCGGGCACAACGTAACGAAGGACTGCAGAGCTGACTTGAACATAGGGTTTCATTCAATTCGATCTCGGTGACATTGAAGACTCTGGGAAAATGGGAGCCGTGTCTCGTCGCGAGAAGGCCCCCAGAGCCAGAGGCAAAAGGGCGCCGATGCTCACCGGCCAGGCTGGTCGAGATCTCTACCTCGAAGCTCTGCAGTTGGTCATCAGGAGCCAGGTAGCATGGCTCATCAATGAAAAGGGCCACAGGGAAGAGCTGGAGACTGTCGTTCGCGACCTGTGGGACCTGCGAATCAGAGGGTCCAACTCTGGCCTCGCCGATGATGCTCAAGGAGACGATGAAGACTTGGCAATCTTCAGCTCCGAGCCCTCTCAGACTCCATCGTCAAGAGAACGGCATCCGGCGGCGCGGAAGCAGAGCTGGGATCCCGAGCTGGGTCTACGATGGCCATTGCCGCATGTCCCCGACACACTCGCAATCTGCTACCTAGGCTGCATTCTCTTGAGGATACCGACTCACCTCGGAGATGTAGTCCGTTGGGCCAATAACGGGAGCATTCCGTACAAGAATTGCGTGAGCATCGGGTCATTCCGGGCCTTGGCTTCTGCCGTGCTGACTGAATGAATAGTACTATAACCTACCCCAAGAAATGAGGGATCGAATGCCTGCGGCATACATTAGAGTCTTGAAGTTGCCCTTCCGCACCACTACCAAGGGTGATGAGCTACACAGATCTGTCATGGACTTGGTACTCTCGTACGACTTCAACTATGGCCTAATTTTTCCAGAGATTAATCACATTCCGGAGCTGGTACAGTTTGCAAAGGAGCTTGCGCTGCCCAGTAAGCAACACCATTTGTCCAAGCTGCAAGAGGTCTTATCATCTAACAACAGGACAGTTGATTCCGTCATTGTGACTCGCAAACTGGCGTCCATCTTGGGCTATCAGTTTCACTTTCCGACGGGGAAGTCGTCCAATCCCCGGCTAGACTATCCAGAGATACGACTCATGGCTCTGCTCATCGTGGCCACCAAGCTGTATTTTCCTCTACCTAGCGACAGCTCAGCATCCTATCTCCAAATTGCGGGTTCCTTGGAGATACCTACGCTTGACTGGGCGACATGGCGGCAAGGCAAAAGCAACTTGCCAACTCAGCACGAGAAGGAGACTACCAAATTCGACTTTGACAAGGTCACCCCTAGTCAGGTGGTATCAATGGCGGACGACGAACTGGATGCGTACTTTGCTCATGTATCCAGTCTCATTGACAGCAATAGTGAGCTTCAATGCAACATGACCCTTTTTCTGATAGTACACATGCTAATAGAGGACACGAATTAGACAACAACCCAATCACAAAATTCTTCCCGATTGAAGAACTACCAGCAAGCGCAAACCAAATAGAAGACATTTCTGCAAAGGCTTTAGACGATGCTGTCAAGACTCTTCTGAGCCAGACCCTCAGATATAGTCCGCCTGATGCAGCTGAAGGGGCCGAATTTACGCCATTGGCTATGCCTAGATATGAAGCGTTTCGCAAAGTTGAGCACCTTTCTCAGACTGCCAAGGAGCTCTACACAGCGGCAGGTAGGTCTACACGCGAGACAGATCAACCATAGCAGGTGTATACAAGAACGTCGGCTAACCTCGATGTTCTAAAGGCTTGGTGGTGGGGGCGTCTCTTGAGACCATGACGGACGCCATCTACAGGATTGAACGGGCCATGGTACTATGGCAGAGCAAGCAGCCGGGCGCGGGAGGCCAGTAAGAGGTGCGATAATTTGGCATGTGATGTCTTACCATTACCGAGCGGTGGTTGAGGCCTGTAAAGATGACGTAGAAAGAGAGCATCAACAGCCTTCAGATACATCGCGATTGAAGTAGGGACACTGAATGGTCCTCACGATTGAATGAATTGATGCAAGTTGAGGATAAAAAAGGACACAGTTCACGAACTCTCTTCTATCATTGTCGGTTCAGTACTTAGATGCTGCTACCCAGGATATCGGAGTGAAGAGGCAGTCAATTCATTGTACAGGAGAGCACTTCATCATTGGTGGTCGGTCCTCGGTTGCAGAATTCCCACGAGGTACAAGGTACTTAGCGCAGCAGCATGAAAGCTCCATCTGGCAGGCGACTCCAAAAGCGGGCTAGGGCGAGGCCAGTGGATCGCCCACGCAGCGCTACTGGCAGCATGACGGAAAGCCCTCGCAAAATTTCCAGAGCAGAGCCACTTTCCCTCTCCAGAGTCACGTGCGTCGGCTACTGACCTAGGGTTTCCCATGATTTGAACTTGCGCCCCACCAATTTCGCGCGCAGATTCAGCGATTCGAACCTTCACATCGTCAAGCATCACCAAAATCGTCAAGAGTGAGTACTGCCGCCATGCCTCTGGAAAATGCCTTCAGGATGATGTACTAACCGTTTTAACAGTGCAGATGTAAGCTACCGCCCAGAAAAAAGAACCATTCCACAGAACAGATCCCGTTCCCTCCGAGATTTCGAAAGAAAAACCCGACATCAATTCCAGCACGGTTACTGACAGAAATGCGCGAATCAGCTTCGTGAAGACCCTGACGGGCAAGACCATCACCCTTGAGGTCGAGTCCTCCGACACGATCGACAATGTCAAGTCCAAGATCCAGGACAAGGAGGGCATTCCCCCGGACCAGCAGCGATTGATCTTCGCTGGTAAGCAGCTCGAGGATGGCCGAACCCTGTCCGACTACAACATCCAGAAGGTGCGTCATCAACCAAAAGATGGGGGTGCATTATCGAAACCTGCTTCATACGGAAGAGTCGGAGGAGAAAGGGGAAAAAAATATGGAGGAGAATGGCAGGGAAAGGAAGGAAATTTCGAGAGGCACGGAATGCTAACGTGCAACTGCAGGAGTCCACTCTCCACCTCGTCCTCCGTCTGCGTGGTGGTATCATCGAGCCCTCCCTGAAGGCTCTGGCCTCCAAGTTCAACTGCGACAAGATGATCTGCCGCAAGTGCTACGTACGTCGAAACTCCTCAACAGCTCTTTATCCGCCCCCAAAAGGACGGGAATGTCTTCAGTTAGTCAGGACTAACAACACTTCTTCAGGCCCGTCTCCCTCCCCGTGCCACCAACTGCCGTAAGCGAAAGTGCGGTCACACCAACCAGCTGCGACCCAAGAAGAAGCTCAAATAAATCATTTCACCAAGGATGTGGCGTCTGGTTTCTGGCATTCTGGGGTTGGCAAGGACAGAGGTGCTTCTGCTTTATTCCGGATCTGTTTCTACATTAGCATCATGGCAGAGGCAAATAGTATATCAATCTAGATGATGTCTGGTGGCGCTTTGTTAGGAACAGTCCTCTCTTTTCGGGTGGGAGACGGCCAGTGATTCGAACTAGAGCTGACGCCGATGTTGCTTCTTGAAAGCCACCTTTTGGCCCCCGATGCCTGGAAAGGGTCATGTCAAGGCTTGAGGAGGGAGGCACTTTGTGAGTGTATCGGCTAGAAAGATGAATCGCAAATTAAATCACGTCCACAATTCAGTGCGCTGGAGATGTGTTATTACAGCAAAGGAGCTGTCGTGCTTCTTGGTGATATCTGGTCGATGGTGCTCAACGACCGAGAAATGCGAGTAGTAACTCGGGATAAGAAGATGACTGAAATGCTACGCAATCAAGGCATTCAAATAAGTCTTGGATTCCTAGTGATACCCGCTGTATGAAGTAATACTACGGAACCTTGAAAGTCTGCGGATGTGCATCCTCTTTATGAGAGTGATAAGGAGGTAAGGTAGTGATGGCCATCACGTGATGCGACGACATACTCGTAATCGTGACAAGCTATCCGCAAGCTCAAGCCAGCAATCGCGGGACCTCGAGCCGAGCTAGAGTGTCAATTGTCCGCCAAACGTTCAAGACTCACCACCCTCAATCCGGACATCTCTTCTCTTTCTTTGGCAATTGCCAACTCTTTTCTTCTCCAGACGTCAAAATGTCTGGCTCCGGATACGATGCAGTAGTGGACGTGGACGACGAGGTACGTTGGACTCTGACGAAGCTCACACATAGGTACCATCAATCTTTAAAACATCGCCTTGCTAATAAAGTCGTCCCCATGAGGACTCACAGGGCGACCTCGGCCACACCGACCTCCAAGAAGACCTCGAATTCCACAGCTCCAACTTCACCGAACCCTCGCGCGGCGGCCGCAAGGTCCCCGGCTCCTCCAGCCTTCTGCCCCCTCCGGCAACCGCCTCGTCCTCCTCTGGAGCGGGCGGCGCGGGCTCGTCCAAGCGCTACCTCTGGAGCATGTCCTTTTACGCGCAGTTCTTCGACGTCGACACCTCGGCCGTGCTGTCGCGCTGCTGGGCGGCGCTCTTCCCGCGCGCAAACTTCCTCGACGTGCTCGAGGGCAACCCCGACTTGTACGGGCCGTTTTGGATCGCCACGACGGTGGTGCTCATCTTGTTCCTGGGCGGCACGATCAGCCAGTATCTTTCGACGACGGGCAAGTCGCAGTTTGCGTATGACTTTAGGTTACTGAGCGGTATGTAAAACAAAAGACCTCGATGCTCTGAACTAAAAGCTTCGAACTCTGTTGAAGGGGGGGGGGGGGGGGGGGGGGGGTTATCTTTCCATTCACAACGAGGCTAACACGATCATTGGCACAGGCGCCGCTGGCTTAATCTACGGATACACCATGGTCATCCCCGTAGCCCTCTTCCTCGCCCTGCGCTACTTTGGAAGCGAGTCGGCCAACCTCCTGGAGTGCTGGGCGCTCTACGGCTACTCGAACCTGATATGGATCCCCGTCGCCCTCATCTCCTGGTCGCCCATCTCCATCCTTAACTGGGTCTTTGTCGGCGTAGGCTTCGGACTGTCCGTGGTGTTTTTGGTGCGGAACTTGTATCCGGTGCTGAGCGCGACGGACCGCCAGGTCAGCAAGATTCTGCTGGTCATTGTCATCTTGCTGCATGCCGGTCTTTCATTGACGATTAAAATTCTCTTCTTTGCTCATGGAAGTCCTGTTGCGAGATCTCCGGCAGACGGGGGATCTGACGGTAACTGATGGGAAGCTGGAATGATGGAGGATCTCTCTTCGGGCGCACAAATTTCGTTACAAGGAAGTTCAGAAGGTCAGCGTCATCGTAAATGGATTATGTTGTCACTGGAAGGGCAGGTTTCAAGGAGAACAATATTGCAGTTTCCGTGGGCATTTGAAAAAGCTCTGTATACTATAACAGCATGGTCAGCTATGCCTCGATATGAATGACAGAATATGAATCTAGAGTTTTATCATTGACCTTTTAACTTTTTTTTTTCCTTCAGAATATCGGTTCTGACATGACCGCCTCGGAGGACAATTCTTTCAGAAATATCATCCCATATATACAATACATCTCACACAACCCATACAACCCCCAGGCCATGAGAATCTAACCTCCATCAAGCACCTCACTTTTCCTCGCCATCCTTACCACCCTTCCCCCTCACCACCTCAACCGGCCCCTTGTTCGCCTCCCAGTCAAGCCAGCTGCCCGGATACTCGCCCACGCTCTCCCACCCGGCATGCTGGGCCAAGCCCGCCGCGGCCTTGGCCCGCACGCCGGCCTTGCAGTAGAAGAGCAGGTTCGCGTCCTTGGGCGGCCGCGCGTAGCCGTACATGTCCTCAAAGTCCTCGTCGGAGATGTGGAAGCTCTGGACGGCGGAGGTGATGGGGATGTTGATGGCGCCGGGGATCTTGCCTGTTTCGAGGAGCTCGTGGGGTTCGCGGACGTCTTGTTTTCCCCCGGGAAAACGTACAATTGTCAGTTCAAGTGCTTTGAAAAGGATAAAAGGGCATAGGAACGGGATATCGGGGGCCGGTGGGTAGTGAACGAGAATGTCAACGTACCGACTATGACGACCTTGTTGTCCTTGGGGTCCTTCTTCTCAACCAACGCCTTGATTTCGTCAAAGCCCCAGATGCGACTGCCAGGCACCTGGTTTTCCGAGCCAGAATACCACCGCGCGCCAGCAACGCTTACGCTTACGCTTCTCCATCTCGTCGCCGGCAATGGCCGATTCGTCGCCGTCGACGGGGCAGAGACGACGCTCGAGAAGGCCCTCGTGGCTGCGCGTGCCGAGGTAATAGCTGGGGCGGCGGCAACCCGGGGAGCGATACGGCACAGCGGGAGTCGCTGGCAGACTTGTCTGGTGGCCATTCCTGCTGTGTGGTGTGTGTGCGTGAAAGAGGAGAGTGAAGGCCTGGTGGTCGAATTGGGGTTTGGGAGGGGAAGATGTCGTAGAAGTTGTGGTATTATATAAAGAAAGTGAAAAAGAGGGAGAGAGAGATAGAGAGAGGCGCAATGCGCTCAGCAGTTCATAGGTTGACGAGTGCCGCCGATATCCACTGCTGCTACCTTATCGATCATGTTCAGCTTGAGAAGCTACCTTACCAATTCCCACCGGCACCAGCTCAAGCTCAAGCTCAAGCTGCCCACTTGACAAGTCAAAACAACACACTCATCAAGGGTCCAAACGCAATGCAATTACATACCTAGTGATAAGCTCAGCAGCTCAAAATAAGGTAGTCAGACAGTCCAGATACCTACGTAAGCCGCAAGAACTCTCAGCTCCCCCCCAAACAGTTCGTCAGATTCGATCCGAAAAGTCGCCCCGCGACGTCATCCGTCATGTGGCAGCTAAGAGGCAGGCAGCTTCCTTCCCCATGCTGCAAGACGCACATTATTACCTACTCCTAATACATCAGTTGCCTGACGATAGCCTAATCTCCTTCTCTCTTGTTTCTTCTCCACTAGACAGAGCCTCCTCTTTGTGCTTCATCTTCGGAATCATTTCACAGAGGTGGACTCTCTTTGTGCTTTTCCTTCTTTTCTGGTCTCGTATCAACCGCCATCAAAGGCATCGCCCAAACAGCTGAGCATCTACTTTACTTGGACCAAATTTCATTACCACCAAGACACGAACAAGAACGGCATAATTCCTAGTGATCATTCTTCTTCTCCGTTTTATTCCTTCCGCCAGCTAAACCTGATCTTCCTCATGGCGTTCAGCAGCGAGGCAACCACGCCGCCACCGGGTATTACTTGCAATTATATACAGTGATAATTGGGTATTAAAAGAAAAAAGAAATGCACCGTTCCCCCTTATGGCGCTGATGCCAGGCCGAATCCTGAACTCCAGATATTAGTGCCAGGGCAGCTCAGTGTTCGACAGCACCCATTCCTCGCTCGACGAGCCGATGCCACTCGTATGCAAAGAAATGCCGTCTATAGCCATTGATGGCATCGCCCAACAGACGCACATATATCGATTTGATATTCCAACGTCTCTATATGCCAGCTAACTCGACTTCGGAGATCTTGGCAATCGTTGGTTCGTCTTATTATTATTTTTCGTTCAAGTCATGCTTTTCCTTTTCTTCCGTCTATCTTCGCTCTATTCATTTCCTCTCCTCGAAAGTAAGAGGACAGTCGTCCTGATCTATTGTCAGCATGACCTCTTCAAGATCCCTCCAATGGATGGAGTATTGTTCCTTACCTTGGGGAAAATCGTCGCAAACACCTTGATCTCCTCTGACAGGGGAGTGGCATGATGGGTCCAGTTCATCTGCACAGACGCCTTTCCGAGCATCAGGGCCAGGTTGAGCTGAGCATAGACCTGACCCAGACAATAGTGAGCACCGGTTCCGAACACCAGGTAGTTCTTGGCGCCCTTGGTCTCGGCATCGCCTGAATAGTATCTCTCGGGGTCAAAGTAGTCGGGGTTCTCGTAAACATCGGGATCATGGAGAGCCATGTACGTCGTGGGGATCAGCATGGCACCTATCCGGCAACATGTCAGTAAGGATCCGAAAGCAAAGGCACAGCTGTCACCATGTTCGGCGAGCGGACGCGACTTACCCTTGGGAACAGTGTAGTTCTCGGTGATGGGGAACGGCTTCTTGACCTTGTACGGAACCATGAGCACGGGCGGGCGGTATCGCAGAAGCTCGCGGACGACGGCACGGGTGTAGGTCAGGGACTCGAGCTGATCCATGTTGAGCTCGGCATAAGGGTCACCGTTGCGGACCTTGAGGTTCTCCTCTCGGACGCGGTCGAGAACGTCGGGTCGTTGGGCGGTAACCTGGAACAGCCAGGTCGCGGCGCTGCTGGTGGCATCCTGGGAAGCGAAGAGGAAGGTGAAGATGGTCTGCGAAATTTCATAGTCGCGGAACATGCGCAGCATAGGCGCCGGCTTCACCAGGCCCTCGGTCGACAGGCCCTTCTCCTCAGCCTCGCGCCAGCGCTCCGACTGGATCATCTGCAGAATCCACCCGTCCATGATGCACGTCACCTCTCCTCCAGCAGCCATGCGGACCTTGCTCTTGGCAGCACACTTTGCGAACTCAGCGAGGACCATGTCGGCCGCCTTCTTTCCGTACCAAGTCTTGGTGTAAGGGAGGATGATGGGGAAGTTGACGAGCTCGAGAGCCGCGGTGATGAGGTAGTAGTCGTCGGCAATCTTCTTGACGGCCTCGTCGGAGATGTAGTGTCCGACAAAGGTGCGGCAGGAGACGGCGCACATCAGCTCTCGGAACTCGGGCATGAAGGGAACGGGCTTGCCGCCATTCGCCTTGGTGACTTCGAGGAAGCGCTTGAAGTACGCCTTGTACACCTCCTCCTGGCCGGGCAGATAGCATTCGAGAGCCTTGCGGGTGAAGAGGCCGTTGAGGCCCTTTCGGAAGTCGACATGCGGCTTGCCGTCGAGGAAGACCCAGTTGTCCTCGCCGAGAAGCTTGTACGCGGCATCGACGACACAAGGCTTGACGTATGCCGGGGAGTTGAGGACCTTGCGGGCCATGTCTCGAGTGGACGCAATGACGACAAACCTACGGAATCCCACGTTAGTCGCGAACTCTCCCCGTCGCAAACTCTTCGGAATGCGCCGGCTGCAATTCGTCGCGTCAAGACTCACTTGTGGAAGACGGAGACGCAGCTCAAGGGACCGCTCTTCCACTTGGCATAGTACTCCTCAAACTTGGGGTCCATGGATTGCAGGAAGGGTCCAATGAAGGGTTGCTTCCATGCCGGGCCGACAATGGAGCCCTTGTTCATAAGGTAGCTGACTGTTGGATTGCGACAATTCGTCAGTTGAGTTAAATCTCTCGGTCGAGCCCTCGTGGGCCTTCAGATATTCACAGGACGCGACAACATACTCTGGTCATAGGCGACGCAGATGGCCAAGATGGTGAAGAACCAGGTCCACGCGCTGGCTGAGGCAATCGTCTCGATCACATAGTCGACCTGGGGAGGCATGTTGGCGCTGACATATTTCGAGTTGGCGAGGACCGACGTCAGGACGGACGGCGCCCTGGTGGCATTGACTGCGTCCATGGCGAAATCCAAGGGGAGAACAGAAGCTCGATTCGAATCTTGTCTGCTCCAAGGCTCTCGCTGTTATGTCTCTTCTCGGACTCGGACACGATATGATGCTGCTACTGCTGCTGCTGCCTCTCGTGCTAGAGTCGCAGTACCACCGAGCCTGTCAGAAACAGTACCTGGAGGAAGAGAGAATTCGACGGGGGCAAGCGAGTGACGGCGATGGGGATATAAAAGAATTGAGGGTCGACAGGGGGGGGGGGGAAACAAAAAGGCGCCGGGTCAAGTCCGTCTGGGGTTTAGCAAGAGCCCAGGTACAGTTGAGTGACTTCCAGCTGCAGCTCGCAGTACTTCGGGACTCTGGGATGTGGCGCCAGATGCGAGCGAAGCGTTCGCTGGTTTGATACCGGAGCCGACCCACGGGTGCGGTGTGAAGGCGCTACGGAGCGATGGCAGGCCAGCTCGGGTGCGGGAGTGCGGAGGTATCTGCCCAGGTACTGGACGGGTACTGCCTGGATATGAACGGTAGAGGTAGGTACATACAAGCGGCGGAGGAACCACCTCGGATCCAGTGCTCAACTGCCTTTTTGACGGTACGGAGTACTCGTAGCAAAGGATTTCGGCGAGTGCTGCTCCTCCAGCTTCTATGTAAGGTACCTACCTACTTGTGCCCTTACATACCTACCCAGGTACCTACTTACCTACTACGACCAGTCCGAACGAGTACCGCGAACATTGTGTGTTTACAGGCCAGATATGCAATGTGTGCGGCATTGACGAGCAGATGGCGCAAATGCCTGCGGACGGAGCAGCTACAGAAGCGATGAATTTTTTCTTGCTTTGAGTTCCGGGCGCTTTGGACGATTTCGAGGCGACCCACGGCGTCTCCACGAGCCAAGATGCAGCTAATCCGCCTCCCCTGTGTGGATGATTGCAGCGGTGGTCCCCTGCCAATTTTAATCTTGTCTCTCTTTTGGCTCTTATCGATTCCTGCTAGTGGCGGAGAAAAAAGAGCACTGGGGGCATCGAAACATGACAGCATGGCGTTGCGTGAATCGCCAGCCAGCTTGATTGGAGCTGGTACGGAGCTTGGCCGGAGGGCGGAGCACGGAGTACCAGCTGACAATGTAAGTGTCTCGAGGACTTGGTGAGTGTGTCCTCTTCAACTGTCCTTCTTTCTTTCTTTCTCTCTCTCATTTCCCTCCATTGGCGACATGGCACCGCGTTTGACGGCTTATTCGCGTGCTCCCTCGCCCGGATCCTTGCCGCCATCCTTCAGCAATTATTAATATCCAGCCCGTTCTGCCAGAGTTCGCGCCACGGCGCCTTCGGCTTTAGGCTTGATGCCGATTCCACCATCTCGCCGGCGACCTAGGGCACAAGTAGTACCCGTTAATTAACAACAGCCCACCTACTAGGCATCTCACTCGTCTATCAGGCGTGGGATCGCGTACCTTGCGACCGGTCCCTGGACTCGTGGCTCGGGAATAGCGCTACAGGCTACAGGCTACGGGTGACGGGTCCAGCGCCAAATTGCCAGGTCCAAGCTCAGCCCAAGACGGGGACAGAGCATCATCATCATCATACTAGTACACATATCG